CTTGCTCACGTGACCGAAGGAGAAGTATTTTTTATAACGATAAATAAAAAGGAAATWGAAATTGAATTGGAAGTGTCATTCTATAATCAAAATATAACGACCTTGCAAAACTTGGCCAAGAAAAATGGCCAATATCACAACGTTAGTCTAGTWTCATAACGATTGGAAGTGAACGTTTTAAAGAACCGTTCTTAATATAAAGCGCGAAATTTTCAATTTTTGGGTTAAAATCCAGGKCCTTTCCAACCTAACCCAAAATAAAGAGAAKGCCAATRTTATCCAACGAACATCCGTGCACACGTGGGTTTKCTGTGTTCTTTTGGGGTTCCTGTGCTTTCTGTAAYAGTCTCTTGGTTTMCTAAGTCTACCATGCGCAAAAACGAATGAGCACCGCTTGTGAATTGAACGCGTGGGATACCTATGCCGTTTAGAGAACCGCGGAGTCTGGAACGTGTGTAGTTATGTCCTACTYCCATAAAAGGTCATCCATTGACGTCACTGCGATAAGGATCATGGGCCGTATTTTGGCTGCGACCTTGACATGAACTCACGGCGGATACGCGATTACCATTCTTGATATGATAAATCTAAAAAAGGTAGAGTGACGTCACTTACTGGTAAACCACTAGAACCCAAACCTTTTCCCTTTGTTTGTGAGAAGAGAGCCTGGGGTTGAACATAAAGAGAGGACAAACGAGAGACTCATTAAAGAAAGATAGCAAAAGTTGTTTCAATTTCCTTTTAGGAAAAGTCGAAAAAATGTAGTGGCCCCCCTATTGGGTGCTATTGAGTATCTACCTGCACACAGACAAACAGACAAACAATGCGAAGACACTACAAAAAGCACCATAATTATAACACGTTTTTGTAACGTTTACCGTGCCCTTGCGGATGGAAAACAATACAAAAACGCTACGGAAACGTATCAGTATGGACRAGGCCTTACTGCTAGAAAACAACACCAAAACGCTACGGAAACGCATCAGGCRAACGAGGCATTRCGTTTCCGTAACGTTTTTATATTGGCTTCTTACCTTTGGTACAAATAAGAAGCAAATCGTAGACGTCGAACAACYGTACACTGATATCCGCGATAGAATCAGCTTGGTTGGAATATCCGTTAGTAAGAACTCTGTTAGTATCGTCAATGCAGAAAATATRAACACATTATACACCGCTAAGGCTATGCTTTTGGAGTCGTTTAATGCAGGATGCTCAACATGTCTCGTTTCCCAAGCGAGAAACATTCCAAATAGTAGCAGCAGACCTTGATAGCACAGCAGGCCAGTCACCCACTCATTGTAGTAAAGTGAGTGACAACGATGAAAATTGATTAAATAGATGAAGTCTTCGTTGTCAATCTCCTGAAAATAAAGAGAAAAATTAACGTCTGCATAATGAAGTGTAGAGCGCGCGATCTGATTGTCTGAAGCTTGTTTCATTGTTTCGTTGAAGCTAAGCGTTGTTTTATCAGTTATAGATCACACAATGTAAATACCTTTTTTTCGATTAAAGCGAGTTTGCTTGTGATGGGACAGGTGATCTGCCAAGTCAACAGTGCTCCAATACTACCAACCCAATAAACTGCTAAACGAACAAACAATGTAGCGTTGCCTAACGGTCCAAGCTGTTGAAATATAAAGATATACGTTTAGATCGTCTCGACCGCTCATCACATTGCTTACTGCTAGCTGACCGTGTTACCTCTATCTTTAGCTCTGTGTTTGTAAATATCTTGTAAACCCGATATGTTTTTGCGAACATTCCTCCAAAAGCAAGCGTAAATCCAGTCGAAAGAAACCACGGTCGAAGCTATTGAAATAGAAATTTGTTTGTTCATCTCTTCATTTCTTCATTTTCATTCATTTATTATTTCATTCTGATTTCATTCATCTATCCATCTTGGCAACTGTCCATCGATCAGTCAATTCATCGTATCCATTGACCCCATCAGTTTATCCCATCAATTCATCTCATCAATTCATCCCATCCATTCATCTCTTCCATTCATCCCATCCTTTCATCCCATCCATTCATCTCATCCATTAATCCCATCCATTCACCCCATCCATTCACCCCATCCATTCGTCCCATCCATCCAACCCATCCATTCATCCCTTCCATTCATACCATCCATTTATACTCCCTTACCACACATATCAGTTGTTGAGATGAAGTCAAGTCGGAGGCTGTTATCGTCGATAGTAAGACATCAGTGTAACACATACAGCAGCCAAGTACGGTCACATTGTTAAATTGAGGTGAAGACATCTTAATATACCTACAACACAAGTCAAGAAACTGATATACTTGTATTAGCATTCGAAAATTAGTTCGTAAGTGTTWACAGCAGAGGTGCGCCTTTTTTGGTCGACAGTCAATCGAATCTGAGATACAAACGACTGCAAAAGATCCCGACGATCATAATAACAGTGCTGTAAGCAAAGCAATATCCACCATTGCAAACCATTGTCCAGTCATTGAGCTTTTCCTGGCAAAACATTCATGGTATSCACATCACAAAAGAAATCATTTCYMAACCAACCTGTGRTTGCGGTAACAGTAGTTYAAACCCAAACAAAACAARCAGAATATAATTCCAAGACTTGATAATGAAATGAAAGTGATTGTGACAGCTGGTTCCTCTGCGTACGTCATGTTTTTTGTTGTTGTTTCTGCCTTTGGAGGGACACCATCTGAAATCACACATAATGATGAATTTGGACAAGCTAGCAATGTGGAGACATTTGATTAGAGCTTATAACTCGATTTACGTGAAAACACGCTGTCTAAGGGTGTATACATTTAGGAACTATTCCAGGGTCCATTGTCGCCACGTAATAAACCCTTTTAGCGATCTCTTTTACGCTGTGTTAGCCTCAAAACCAAAACCAGATCTGTGAGTATAGAAGACAATGGAAATAGTTTGAAATCTCACGAGTTTTATCTACATTTCTGAATATTTTAGCACACAATTGAGGCTAACACAGCGTAAAAGAGATCGCGAAACTCGACTATT